CATTTTGGCTAGGAACTGACACGAGTCTCCATTTCCCTGTGTTCCAGTGTAATGTTTAACCATAGAGAAGCTGGTTTTAAATGAATGATTTCTTTACCTTCCCACCCCCATCTCCATTTTCATTTATTAAATATAAAAATATAGCCTGATCTTGGGGGCATCCTTAGAGAAGTCAAGAGTCCTCTTTTATTTAGAACTCAATTACTGGTTTTCTGAGAGATTATGTACAAGTCACTTAAACTTTTTACAGCATTAGCAGCTGAAGAAAGAAAGTTAAAGCTTAATTTGGAAATGGTTAGGATTGAAAAATGTATTTCCAGTATGGATTTTGGTTTTTCTAATAAGATAAATCAAGTACTTTACAGCTGATGCAACATTTGATGACAGACATTTTTGGTTCTTTTTAATGGTAATTGTGGAAAGATAGACAGTGTAGCAAGAAGGATGTTTGAGGCAAAGGGAATAACATGAGCACATGGAAGAGACTGGCATATTTAAGAATTCATAGAGTGATAATCTACAAGTAGATCTGTGATGGACAGTGTTTGCAAAGGTAGGCTAGACCCAGTTATAGAAGGCCTTATATACCCCAAGCTAAAGAAACTGCTAAGGAACACTTAAGATTGTGGTTTAGTTTGTGTGCTTGTTTTTGTTGTTGTTTCTGTTTTGTTTTTTAGAGCAGGAGACAGCATGTATGATAAGCTTATTGTATTGAGAATTTCACTCTAGTGACCATGGAGGAGGATAGCTTGAAGAGAAGGAGGTGATAATTTTCTGTTTCTGAAACACCGTAATTGAATGGCTGAGGTACTTCTGGTTAGATATGGTTGGTACATCTGTAGATGATAGCACAGTACTTGCCAGAGGGCAAGGTTTATGGGACTCCAGCTTATTAGTAATAGCTTCAGGGGTCAGCAGACTTTTTCTCAAGGGTCAGATAGTAAATGTTTTAGGTTTGCGAGCATTAAGATCTCTGTTACAGCTACTCAGCTCTGCCATTATAGCTCTGAAGCAACCATAGCAATAAGTAAATAAATGTGCATGGCTGTGTTACACTAAACAAAAACAAGTGGCCAATGCAGGCCATATTGAGAAGTTTAAACCATAGGGAGAAGAGAGTCGAAGTCAGGACTGTAAGATCATCTTTTCGTGTAGCAGCAAGGGGAAAAAACTTCTCAAAGAGTATTAGGAAGTATGAAAATGGGGAGGAAATGATGATTAGGGGTGGTGGGGAGGGTGTAGAAATAAGGAGGGATAGAGGACAACTCTTCTATATTAAAAGAGACTATAGAATTTTGCATACTGGGTATTGTATATTATGGAATTAATTTTTTAGATTGTGATAATGGTAATGTGGTTTTGTTCTTAAAATGGAATCTTATCTTTTAGAAATCCATACTGAAATATTTATAGATGAAACAGTATCTGGAATTTGTTTCAAAATAATCCATTGGAGTTGTAGGAGAGGAAAAGAGATGAAACAAAATAGTCCTCGAGTCGATGATTGTTAACCCTGGATGATGAATACATAGGGATTCGTTGTACTAGTCTCTCTGCTTTTGAATATGTTTTAAAACTCTATACTAACAATTATTTTAATAAAAGACTTTGTATTTGGGGATTAAGGGATTAACCTCAGAGTAAGTTCCAGAGAACAGTTGGAGAGATAGATAGATTGCAGGTGTTAGATGAGAGAGGGAGGAGCAGTTTACTTCCCAAGAAAGAGAAATAAAAATACAAAGGAGAGAAAAGATAAAAGAACCCAGTGATGAGGGAAAGACTCAGAGATGAGAATTTTGAAGAAAATTCTCAGAGGACTCAGAATGAATGGATTTGAGAGCATTTCTCACCTCGTGGGCATTTACAAGTGTATCCAGAACCGTACAATCAAAGGCAGTTACCCACAAAATGGGGGAATACTGATGGGTTTGCATTAAAACCTGTATGTCTGCTGGTAGACATTTGGGCATTTATCATAGCGTGTCAAGGGAATGAAACTCACACAGTAATCTCTAGAGATTTATACAATACAGTTGGAAACATTAAATTATGCATTCTCTTCTGCAAGGGTCTTACAGTCATACCTTTAAGTCTCTCTTTCCTTTAATACCATCTGCTTAAACTTTTATAAAAGACATGACCATTATACAACATTTGGAAACTACATTTCAAAATAAAGGAAACTTATCATTTTTTCCTAAGACACGGCTATAACCAGTAAATTACTCTGACTTTTCTAGGTTGGGCACTAGGCTTAAATAATGCATAATCCCTGCTCTTTATGAATTTAAAGTGTACCAAGGAAATGGACCAAGAAACAGGGCAATAAAGTCTCCTAAATTTAAGTAGTATCTCTGAGTTTGTTGATGAATTTTTGGTTTAAAGTATAAATAAATGCTCTAAATAAATACATTTTTAAATATTTTCTCAATTTTCAGATGTTTCACTAAATTTGGAACTTTTTACATTGTGTTCTTTCTGATTCAAAATTTCCTTTATTTGATTTTCTGCTGTCATTGACTAAAAAACAGCAGAAAAAGGAGTGGGAGAGAAAAGCACGTGCGTTATGTGTTGTGTATCATTTCTAGTAAAATGAAGGTTTTATTTTATGTCACCTATGAAAACCTTATATTTGAAATGTCCCTGGGTATGCTAAGCATAGATTACTTTATTTTGTTTGTTTTGTTCTCAAGTTGGGTGACAACTGAGAGGAGCAGTAGAATAGATACCTGTACTACCTACCCATTTATCAACAGGTGCTCTCCATTCTCCATAATCTGAATTAAGCCAATAATTTTTCATGTTATTTATATTTTATCTTTTTGTTTAAAAGTTTCTTATGGAAGAGGTTCTCATTGTTTCCGGTATAACAACATGATAGATTTTAGAGCTAGATTAAAAAACAATCTAATTAGCCAACAGATAATTAGCACTTTCAGCATATCATTTTCATCTTATAATCATTTACTCCTAAAATGAGCAAAATTATCTTCTGCAATTTACTTGGCATGTGCTTTATTGTGCAAACAGTCATACTATCTCTTTTTACGTAAGAGATGAATCAGTTTGAGAACTCAGAAGGTTCTGGCAAACTTTCTACCCACAATGGCCAGTGTTAGAATATGATACTTGTAAAACATGTTCATTTTAGATTTAGCGTTGCCAGACTCCTCTCTTTTTTTCTTTGGAGTGCTATTTGCCAAACAGCATCATGGGTTCAAATGACCCTTTAGGTATTAAGTTTCTAAAGCCAAATTTCAGTAAAATATTTGATTATCATAGTTTTTCTTCCTAGATATTCCTCTCTTTGCAAAATGTTTTTTTCATTTAATATATTTCCATTTTAGATCTTTGATCAGGAATAAGTCTTTGAGGTGAAAAAAAAATATGTATGTACAATAAGAGATATGTTCAGTTGATAAATATGAAAAAAGGGGTGTAAGCTACATTAAACTTTTCATGTACAAATAACTTTTGACCTGTGATTTGCTACTGTCCAGCTGTTAGGTTCTACACATAGTTCATATTGTTTTTATGTTGAATTTTTGATTTATCTAAATCAAACTTATTATTCCTATGGCCTTCAGTCCATTACTCTCTGATAATTCTTTATTAAATTCATAGCAAAGTCCTTGTGGAAATAACATGGTTTTCATAATCTTTTTGTAAATAGCCTGAATTATTCACTGTCTATATAATAATAGTTAGCTTTGTTAGGGTTAGGAAACATGACGTTAAAAATATGTTGACATATTATCTAGTGAGAGCTCGAAAAAATGTTCATCTTAAGAGTCTATAAAAATATGTCTATTCCAACTTGCAATTCATTCTAGCCCTTTCATTGTACCATTTGTACTGATATATTTGACAGTAGAGACAGACTTTAATACTACCTTAAACCTTAGTTTTATTCACTGTCTACCTGCATGGCAGAATGTTTCCCTAGGCTGGCAGACTTTGAAAATAGAATGGTTTTGTTTAAAAAATGAAATATTATATTTTAAGAAATTGTTACTCTCTGTATTTATTTTCCATTAGTTTCCTATTCAAACCTTAAAACCAAGATCCATGTGGTATCTTGTGAAAGTAAAACATTCAGCATTTAGGGCATTATATTGTTTTATTTAGTGTTCTGTTATGTTAGTTATCTATTGCTGCCTAACACATTGCCCTAAAGTATAACAGCCTAAAACACAAAAATTTATTACCTCACAGTTTCTGTGGTCAGGTATCCCAGTACAACTTAGCTAGGTACCTCTAGCTCAGTGTCTCACAGGCTGCAGCCAAGGCATCAGTCAGGGCTGCAAATATCTCAAGGTTTGACTTGGGAAAAATTGCCTCCAACCTCACTAACATGGCTAGTGCCAAGCCTCAGGTCCAGAGTTACTGGCTGAAGACATCCTCCCCTCACAAATCTCTCTATAGGGTAGCTTTTCATAGGCAGCTGGCTTCTTTCAGAGCCTAACAAGCAAGAAAGTGCCAAAATGGTAGCCACAGTCTCTGTAACCTAATGTCAGCGGTAACATCTCATCACTTTTGCAATAGTTTATTCCTTAGAAGTGAATTGCTAGGTCTACCCTGACTCAAGGGGTGGTGATTACACAAGAGCATGGGTACCTGGAGGTTATGAGGATCTTAATAGTTGCCTGCCATATCTCTCATGAGTACATTGGAACTTCTAGAAGTTTACCACTTTTACTACGTTGTTTCATTAGAATTATGATGATAAAACTTTCTTCAGACTGAACTCCTTTTGCTTGGCTAGCTGTTGTCTCACAATCTTAAATTAATCATTTTATACAGAATGAGAGACTCTAGGAAAGGGTGCAAACCAGGTCAGAGATAAAGAAATGTTCTTTTGCAGTTTTGCTTGTAGAACCTTTTCTAGTTATTTAGATAAAGTGCTTTGTTAAAGCTCTAAGGTACTATCGAGAAAGTGTACAATCGGGAATATTTTATTCTCTATTCATTATGTAAATTCTAATGTTTATCTTATTCAGTATTGGTAAAGGTTTTCAAGGCGTCATGAAAAGATGGGGATTTAAAGGCCAGCCTGCTACTCATGGTCAAACAAAAACTCACAGGCGACCTGGAGCTATTTCAACTGGTGTAAGTATAAGTTAGTGATGCTCTTTTTAATGCTAAATAGTCAACTTCTGTGCATATAGTACTTTAGTCTGTCTTTGAGATCAAGTCACATTATTTTAATCTGACTCAGGTGGGTCTAGTACTTGTCACACTTTTATGGGTGCTGGACTTATTTACTTTCCAGAGCCAAACTTGAATCATTTAGTTATATCCTACATACTTACAGTTAGTAGTCCCAGTGTTTTTCTGCCTACTTTCTTATTTCCATCTCTGTCTTTCATCCTACACTCTGAAGTCAGCTGCAAGAAATCAAGGATGAGAATGCCCTTCTATCTGGCCCACTGGTTCCTTCACAGATATTTTTTTTATTTTGCCTTAAAAGAGACAGTTGGGGAAAATTGTCAAGGCTATTAAAATGGTGCAGGGGGAAAATGGTAGAGAAGAAATGGAGAAATAAACAGTAAGTGCGTAGAAAATGGAAGACTTTTTTATTGCTAATTCAGTCCTATTCTCCCAGAGATATAGCATGAAGAGCTGGGGGAGGGAGTTTCCTTTGGAGCATCAGAGTAAAACAAGATTAATCTCTAAATATATATACACACACATACATATAGTCGTTCTCCTTTCATAAGAAATACAGATTAAAGCTACTCTTGAGTTATTAGTTTCTCAACTAGTAAGTAGATTGTATTATCAAGCTGTTGGTGGGAATACAAAATAGTGTATCTTTTATGGAGGAGAATGTGCCAATATCTAAAAGAACTTCACAACAATCCTACTTCTAGGAATTTACACTAAAGATATTCTCCCGAAAATATAAAAATGCATTTGCATAAAATTAGTCATTGCAACATTATTTGTAATTACACACATAAATGCTCATGTCTAGGAATTTCGATGAAGTGTAGTACATCTCAGTAGAATTCTATACAGTTGAGAAAAGAATGAGAAGATCATTTCTAAATGATAGCATAATTGCCAAGATATATGGAAATGTACATATTATCTGCTTATTTTTGCAAAAAGAAGAACAAGAAAGATAAATCAGGAACTAATGAGATTGGTTACCTATAAGGGATGGGTGGGAACAATATGGAAGGACTTAGCAGTGGCAAGAGTTACACTTCCCTAGATACATTTTTTTGTTATACTTCTCTTATTTGGAACCATGTTAATGTTTTACATATTTAAAATAAAATAAAAAACAAGAATGAGGGAGGAATCCATAATGGAATATAATTAGAAAATGAACCTAACTGTTTCAAATGAATAACATAACCACAGTAAAGGGCTGGGAGGGACTAGGGGAGAAGAGTAACTCAAGTAACTTCTGAACACAGTAGTTGGCTATATACACTGACTCTAAATTTAAAATGTGCTATGCACAACTGTTGAATTCTAATTATGTTTTTTATTTGAAGTAGCATTAGTCAGCAGTTCTGAAATAATTTTCTATGAATTGTAGGATTGAATATATAAGTAAATGTATTGATAATGGGAGCCAAAGTTTCTCACTATTGGAGAAGGGTGTTAAGTTATGAAAAGGAAGGAAATTAGAATGGACTCTGTAGTGTTGAATTTCAATTGTAGGTATCAGTATTTATTTGTTACAGGTTTATGTAAAGAAAAATATAGATATTTATATGGATGTATATATATTTATGTCATAGCTCTGTCTGCTGAAAGGACCTAAAAGCAAAGATATTCCATAGCAATGAGCATACCTAGAGCCTAGATCTTAGTTTTTAAACACCATTCCCCACTGAAAGAAACTGGGACTTATTAGAGAATAGACTGATTTCATGCATGGGGTAAGAAGAGTACAATATGATTCCTTGTCAAGAAATCAGGGAAGTGCTTTATAAATGATAGTACAATAGGCAGTAAACTCTTTGATATTGCTCTTAGTAACATTTTTTGGACATGTCTCCTTGGTCAAGGGAAACAAAAGAAAAATAAACAAATGGGTCTATATCAAACTAAAAAGGTTTTGCACAGCAAAGAAAACCAACCATCAACAAAGTGAAAAGACAACCTATTGAATGAGAGAAGTATTTGCCAATGATATATCTGATAAGAAGTTAGTACCCAAAATATATAAAGAACTCATACAACTTAACTCTGAAAAGACGGTCTAATTAAAAAAATGGGCAGAGCACCTGAGAAGATATACAGATAGCCAATAGACATAAGAAAAGATGCTCCACATCACTAATCGTCAAAGAAATGTAAATTAAAACTGCAATGAGTTATCACCTCACACCTGTCAGAATGGCTATCAGAAAAATCAACAAACAAGTCTTGGTGAGGATATGGAGAAAAGGGAACCCTCGTGCATTGTTGGTGGGATTGCAAATTGGTACAGTCACTACAGAAAATAGTATGGAGGTTCCTCAAAAGATTGAAAATAGAACTGCCGCATGACCTAGCAATCCTACTTCTGGGTATTTACCCAAAGAAATTCAGAACACTAATTTGAAAAGATATATGTATCCCTGTGTTTATTGCAGCATTATTTCCAATAGCCAAGATATGGAAGCAACTTAAGTGTTTATTGATAGATGATTGGATAAAGATGTGGTACATATATACAATGGAATATTACTGGGCCATAAAAAAAAAAAGAATGAAATCTTAAAATTTGCAACAACATGGATAGACCTAGAAGGTATTGTGCTAAGTGAAATAAATCAGATAGAGAAAGACAAATGCCATGTGATTTCACTTATATGTAGAATCTAAAAAATAAAATGAACAAACAAAACAGAAGCAAATTCATAAATACAGAGAACAAAGTGATAGATGCCAGGTGGGAGGGGCATTGGGAGCTGGATGAAAAAGGTGAAGAGATTAAGAAGTACAAATTGGCAGTTTCAAAATAGTTTTTGGTTTGTAGAGTACAGCTTAGGGAATATAGTCAGTAATATTGTAATAACTATGTATGGTTTCTGGTGGGTGCAGGACTTATCAGGAGGATCACCTGGTAAGTTATATAAATGTCTAACCACTATGCTATACATATATATGAAACATTATATTGAGTGTTGATTGTAAATGAAAAAAATTTTTAAATGGCACATGAAAAGGACATAGGAGCCCATTAAAATTAGCTCCCACTTGTAAAAATTGAGACAGTTTGATCTGAAAACTTAAAAAATGATAGTAACACAATTCACGGAATAAACAGAATCAGTGAGTTCACACTGATACAAATAAGGAGAGTGAATGGGTAGATTAATAAATGAGAGAAAAGAGATTACTCTTTCTTACAATATAATCCCAGCTAAAAAATGTAGAAGAATGTTGGAGTTAGAATTTCATTTTTTGACAGCCATAATAAGAATAATTGATTCAGCCAGGAATTATTAGTGGATGCTAAAGCAAGTGGTGAAAGCTTGTTTGGAGACTAGTTATTTACATAGACCCAAAACAAATTGCCTATTAATTATAAAGGAAAAATAATAACCTTAACCTTAAAGTAGATTAATCTAGGGAACACATCCTTAACTAACTAATCAACATTATACATACCAGTAATTGGACAAACCAACATAATGTGCCTCCTGATATGATTCCAGGAAAACACATTATCACTTCTACAGTGATCTCTATCAAAAACGCATCACCTGAATCTAATCACAGGGAAATATCAGACAAAACCAAAGTAAGTGGTATTCTACAAAAAGCTTGTAGCCTTCAAAAATGTCAAGGCGAGGAAAGGCTGAGGAGCTGCTCTGGATTTAAGGAGACTAAAGAAATAAGACTATTAAATGCAATGTGTAGTTCCAAAGTCGATCCTGGACTTGGAAAAAATAGACATAAAGAACATTATTGGGGTAATTGACAAAATTAGAATGTGGACTGTAGATTAGATAATAATGTATTAAATTTTCTGAGTTTCACAACTGTGATTATATAAGAGAATATCCTTGTTCTTAGGAAATACACACTGAAATACAGGTAGAGGAACATCATGTCTGCCACCAAATTTCAGATGGTGAGGAAGATGTCCATATATAGAGAGTGAATGGTAAAACAAAGGGCAACATGTAAACAATTGGTGAATTTAGGTAGGGTATAAGAGCTTTTTGTAGTATTTTTTAGCTTATAAATGTGAAATTTTAGTCATAAATTATAAAAATAAAAAGTTACAAAGATTGGGTAGATCATAGACATAAATATAAGAGCTAAAACTATGAAACTCAAGTTTCATAGTAAATCTTCATGACCTTGGGTTTGGCAAAGCCTTGGATATGACACCAAAAGTACAAGTAACAAGAAGATGTAAGTAAATTAGACTTTATCCAAATTTCAAACTTTCATGTTAGTTATTTGTCATGAAATTAAACTTCATAAAAACTTTAAACTTGATGGTATTGTGCAAATAATACTGTCAAGAAAATGAAAAGATGGTTTACAGAAAAGAAGAAAATATTTGCAAATCGTATATATAAGAACTCTTATAACTTAATAGTAAAAAAGATTAAGTGTAGGCAAAGGATTTGAAAAGACTTTTTTTTTCAAAAATATACAAATGACCAATAAGAGCATAAAAAGATCCTTAACATCTTTAGCCATTAGAGAAATGCAGATTAAAATTACAGTGAAATATTACTTCACACACTTGGATGACTGTAATTAAAAAGACAGGTAATGTTTGCAAGGATGCGGAAAAATTGGAACCCTTATACATTATTGGTAAGAATATAAAAATGGTGCAGCAGCTTTGGAAAAGGGTTTAGCAGTTGCTAAAAATGTTAAGTGTAAAGTTATCATATGACCCAGCAATTACACTCCTAGGTATAGACCCCAAAAGAAATGAAAACGTGAATATAATGACTTGTGCATGAATATTCATAGCAGCATTATTCATAATAGCCAAAAAATGGAAACAACCCAAAGTTTGCTTCATCAGTTGTTGAATGAATAATTAAAATGTGGTGTATTCATACAATATTATTTAGCAATAAAATGGAATGAAGTATTGATACAAGCTACAACATGGATGAACCTTGAAAATGTGCTAAGTGAAGGAAGCCAAGCACAGTAGACTACATATTATTTTTGTTCTTTTTTAAAAAAATTAATATATGTATTTTTTATTTTTAATTAATTTTTTTTGGTGGCATTGGTTAATGAAATCCAGTAAGTTTCAGGTATACAATTTAATAGTAAGGTATATAAATATTGCAATGTGTGTTTCCCTCCCATAGTCATATTTCTTTCTGTTACCACATATTCGACCCCTTTTACATCACCTACCTCCCTCCTCCCCTTTCTCCCCCTACCCTCAGGTAACCACTAGGCTATTATCCATGTCCATGAGTCTCTGTTTGTCCTGTTCGTTTGTTGTTTTTAGGTTTATATCCCACATATAAGTGATATCATCTGGTTTTCAACTTTTTCTATCTGGCTTATTTCACTTAACATGATTATCTCCAGGTCCATCCAGATTGTTGCAAATGGCAGTATTTCATCTCTTCTTATGGCTGAGTAATATTCCATTGTATATATGTACCACAGCTTCTTTAGCCAATCTTCTATCATAGGACACTTCGGTTGCTTCCATGTCCTGGCCACCGTGAATAATGCTGCTATGAACATCGGTGTGCAGATATCTTTTTGGATATGAATTTTTAAGTCTTTGGTGTAAATACCCAGTAGAGGGATTGCTAGATCATATGGTAGGTCAATTCTTAGTTTTTTGAGGAACCTCCATACTGTTTTCCATAGCGGCTGTACTAATTTGCAGTCCCACCAGCAGTGTATGAGGGTTCCTTTTCCTCTGCATCTTCTCCAACATTTGTTATTACTTGTCCTGTTGATAACAGCTATTCTAACAGGTGTGAAATGGTATCTCATTGTGGTTTTAATTTGCATTTCCCTAATAGTTAGTGATGATGAGCATCTTTTCATATGTTGGCCATTTGTATGTCTTCTTGGGAGAAGTGTCTGTTCAGGTCCTCTGCCCATTTTTTGATTGGATTCTTTGTTGTTTTGTTGTTATTGAGTTGTATGAGTTCTTTGTATATTTTGGATATTAGGTCCTTGTTAGAGGTGTTGCTTGCAAATATATTTTCCCATTCAGATGGTGTCTCTCTGCCTTGCTGATGGTTTCTTTTGCTGTGTAGAAGCTTTTTAGTTTGATGTAGTCCCATTCATTTATTTTTGCTTTTACTCCCCTTGCCTTTGAGATCAAATTCATAACATCCTCCTTAAGTCCACAGTCCATAAGTTTAGTCCCTATGTTTTCTTCTGTGCACTTTATTGTTTCAGGTCTTATATTCAGGTCCTTAATCCATTTTGAGTTAATTTGAGTATGTGGTGATAAACAACAGTCTAGTTTCATTCTTATTATATGATTCCATTTATGTGAAATGTCCATCCTAGGCATATCTGTAGAAATGAAAGTAGATTGATTAGTGGTTGCACAGGGCCAGGGGAAGGGAGTGGAAGTTGAGGGAATGACCACTAATTGGAAATTTCTATATGAGATTGATTAAAATGTTCTAAAATTGATTGTAGTAATACACAACTCTCTGAATATGCTAAAAACTCTACACATTAAAGGATGAAATGTGTGGTTTGTGTATTATATCTCAATAAAGCTTCTTAAAATTAGGCATGTAGAAGAACTTTATAACTCATGTTAGTTATTTCTCATGAAGTAACTGTTCTGGTTGTAAATACTTTAATGATTAGATAGTAAATGCCTTTACAGTCCTGAGTTAGGGTATACTTATAAGGAGATGTAAATTTAATTGAGAGGGCAGAATTGTTTTAATAATGTAATGTTGAGCAAAGTGCTTATCACAGAGTGTATCTGTAAAATTAATAAGACTGATATGATACTTTGTGTATAATATTCAGAATCATTTAAGCTGTGTTGGTTGTCTGTTAATAAGATGAGCTGTTTCCACTGGGAGTTTTGCCTTTATTGTGAGAATAGTAATGCAGAGTTTTTATATTACAAGAATTCATGTGTCATGAGAGTTTTTCCCATTTTAGATATAATTCAGAGTTTCTTTTTCAGCTGTAAAATTTTATTCATTATTAAAGCCAAAATCAGAGAGACTATGTGAAGCTGTTTGATTTATGTGAATCAGAGACAACCAGAGCTGGACAAACAAACTCAGTATTCTGATAACTCTGTCCTTTCTTTAATCATTCTGGTGAAGGAAAGTAACATCAAAAGCAAGGGTGGAGGAGTAGGACCATTTCAGCAGCAGTCATGTGAATGGAGTCCATAACTCAGTTAATACAGAAGATTAGTGAAAACAGGCCAGGCAGTCAATTTTTTTCTTTGAATGGCAGTCCTTTATTTTATTTTATTTTTTTACTTCTTAACCAATATTAGCTCAGTTGTCACTCTCTTGTTTTTGACTTTTTCTCCTAAATCTCTTCTTAATCTATTTGTTTTGTTCCTATAATCTAATTTAGATTAGATTGCCCCTCTAGGGGTAAATATGTCTAAATCTATATTTAGTTCTTTACTGGGGCCTAGCAGAATTCGGGGGTAAATGAAACATTTGGATAATTCCTATCTTAGTCTGCATTTTGGTTTGATCAGTACTGTTTGAAATTGAGAGTATTTAAATGTGCTAATTTTAGTTCTCTTATTTAGGATGTTGCCAGAGTCTGGCCTGGAACTAAAATGCCTGGAAAAATGGGAAACGTAGATAGGACAGCATTTGGACTGAAAGTAAGTTTCTGAAGTGGCTCTTTTTAGGAGTGGTTAAATTAATGCCTAAATGCAGAGGCACCAGAATTATGTATTTAATGTGTGTCTGTTTAGTTAGTTTGTTCAATTTGATATTTAAACAATTTAATGATTGCTGTAATAGCTTTTACAGTTATTGAGGAGTGGAGTATTACGTGAATTTTGTGTGCGTTCTCAAATTTTTAACTGTTAAAGTTTGATTTCATTTCTTGCTTTAGGTGTGGAGAATAAACACAAAGCATAATATAATCTATGTAAATGGCTCTGTACCTGGACATAAAAATTGCTTAGTAAAGGTATGTATAGCTGTGATTATTTTCCATCATGCGTGTGGATATGAGTAAAATTCTCCTTTGACCTGTAAATGTAGCTTGAAAATAAGAAGCTGTTTTTTTTTTGCTTTTTAGTATCACATGAGTAAGAAAATTGCACAAAATAATCTATAATATATGTCTATAAAATGAACCTGCAAAAAGGGTAGGACCAGTAAGCAGAGGCTCTTCGGCAGTATTAAGAGGAGATTAGAATAATATTGCCAAAATATCAGTATATCTCTGTCATTCCAAGAAAGGACTTTTTAGTTTTTTAAGAGTACTTTGAAAGGAACAAAAAATACATGAAGTAGAAATTAAATGAGTCAAGAAGAAAGGTGATTAAAGGTAGACATTTTAAAGAGAGATTCTGTTATTATTATTATTATTATTACTAGCCTGCTCTGATTGCACCTTTGTTTTCCTTAAAAATGCATGTTCATTTTTATGTTCAAAAATATAAAGTAACAGAAGAAAACAAACATGTTGTACAAGATAGATTTGAAGAAAACTTCGAGCTCTCAGAAACTTATTTCCATCAAATAAAATACAAAATAAATATCCTGCCTCAGATTTAAGTCAGTGTAATATAAAGTAAGAGATCACTTTTGAATTTTGAATCTTCCATTCTGAAAATAAATTTGTAGTATAAGTGATAACAAGTCCTAGAAATATATTTTTCATTAATTTTTCAACAATCATAACAAAAATAGCTTGACACTTAAACCTCAGATTTTTTTAATTCAGTCTTTCTATGTATGCTTTTTATTTCTTAAAGTAGGTTCTATTACTAGCATAAGGTACAGTATTTGTTTTAATCTTACAGTAATTAAAATTCTCTTTCTGGCACTTTTCACTTTTTGACTGAATTATTCTCATTTTTCTTAAAGAAAAAAATACATTTGATGAATATTCTCAAGGTTTTTTTCGTTTTTAAGTTTGTAGGTTTTTAGGTTTCAGTAGGTTTCCAATCTCCAAGTGACCCAATGTCCAAGTAACTACAGTGACAGTCGTTGAAGCCAGCAGGTTGTCACTGTACTTCTCACAACATTTTATCTTCATAATTCAATGTATCCCTACCTCCATATTTCAGATTTATTACATGTTATAAATATCACAACCTAATAAAAGAGAAAAAAGGAAAATGATTATTTTCCATAATAAAATTATACTGGATAGCAGATGAATTTTTAAATGATGTCAAATTCTATCTTCCCATTTCCTTCATACACAGCACTAGGCTGCCTTCCAGCTAACCTTTTACTGCTACTGCCACTTCTTAGCAACCACCACAACACCTTCTTTGACACCAGTGGGGATGAATAGGTCAGCTGTCTTGAAAAACTTTGATATGTACAGCGATTTTCTGATCTGGTTGTTATAAACAGTTTATAATCAACAACGTTTATTACTCAGACTTTTTACTCACCTCAATAAAAGATTACTTCCAAAAACTCAGTCAGCTCTCTTAATGGATGATGGCTTGCTGTCACTAAAGACAGTCAGAAGTTACATCAAAGGCAATTCCAAAAGAGGAGTCCAAATGTATTTTGAGAAACTAACATCAGAGAAGTGTCTAGTCCATTTTGAACTATTAAAACACTGGTGAATATATTTTCAACAAACATTTTGATAAAGAATTCATCTTGAAAAAAAAACTTTGAATTATGGCATCTAAACAACTTGTTTTTTATAACCTTAAATGTCTGCCTAAACATTAAGATGAAGGTTTGGAGGAATGTTTTGTGAGCTTGCGTTTTAATTGTCAAAAGTTTGGCATATCTTTTGAAAACATTCACCCTGCTTTTTCCATTTTTCCAGGTGATTGCACAGCAGGTGAATAAGTCCTCTTGCCCAAGGAGAATGAGGCACTTCCTGCTAGACAGGCAGCCTCATTAACATCCACTCACCCCACTGGCGCTTTTGCTCCTTCAGTACACAGCTGCCCAATAACTTTTTTTTATTCTAAAGTTAGTCCTAGGAATAACTAACCTGTGTAATTAATGTAAGCTTTTGTTATCGTTGTTTGGATTCATTAAGTGTATTAAGGGAACCTAAAGAACTGTCTACAGCGTAATGTAGTTTGTGTTATTAAATACCACTCATGTTGCTCACCCCTAATTTATAATTTAAGTTTATTTTCAAATGTGCCCATTTTTTATATGCCATACCGCTACCTTTCCTCAAAGAATTTGAACTGATTTGCCAATATACATAAATATAAAAAGAATGAGATAGATTGTAGAAGGGGTCTTGGTGAAGGCAGAGAAATAAAGCTGGGATAAGATTAAGCATACAAAAATATGTAACTTCGAGTCTTGTGTGTTTGTTAAAGGTGGACTACAAACTTTTGGCTCCAACCATAGAGCCAAAGTCATCAGTTATGTTTCACATTAATAAATTATAGTACTTGGCATTTACAACTAGAATATATAAATATTGCTTTGTCTGAAATGTTCCTTAGATATGATAGACCTATAAAAATATAAAAGTAAGAATTCACAATTATGACTAAATATTTACATTTATCAAATTAGCACAGAAAGTTTTGCCGTTAGTTTGTTTTTTGGGTGTTAATTTCTGAGACAATTTAAATTGGTAAGAATATGACCTTTTTTTCGCCCAAGCTAAAGTTCAACCCAAGATTAGTAAATTGGAAAAAAATAAACAAGTTTATTTTCTCTTGGGCAACTTATGGATAATTTTTTAGAATACTTGTAATGAAAGGGATTAAAATAGATTTTTTTTTGTACTTAACTGTGTACCTAGTACCTAGCAGCTGCGTACTTATTTCAACCAAATTATTCATTTCTTATTGCCAAAGTGATTATGCCTTATTTTACTTTGTGTATAATTACATGTAATTTTTTTTATTTCTCCCTGAATGAAGGCTGTAGGATAAGTCAAAAGCTTTAAAGATCCCAATGATGTTTTTCAAAAATAAAACCCAACATTATATATTATATCAATATCTGTACTATTATTTGGTTTATGAATTTACAGATATAATTAGAATATTTTTAGAATATAAAGAGTTAATACAACTATTATAAAGACTTATGGGTTTGTATTGTTTTTTTGCTTAATACCATTCTGCCCTTAGCATCTAAATGAGAATGCTACTTGTTAAATATGTTAATTTCTATAATAAAACTTGATATTTTTGATTATGTTCTTATAATTAAGACTAATAAAAATAGTAGGTAAGTTTTATCCTCAGTTCAAAAAATCTATGATAGAAAATAAAATAACAAAAATAGATACTATGAATAGATAAAATCAATAATTAAGTAGATAGTAATACCTCTTAGGTATATAGTTTATATCAGATTTTATATTTGAGAAATCAATTTGGATGTAACTGATATTTAAGTAGTAATTATAGTATATAATTTATCCTGTTGGGCAGTTCTAGAGATATATAAGTTATGGATAATATATAAATCGATTAATCAGAGCAATTTTCTTCTAAAATAGTTGATTAGCTCGAGGAAGACTGTATTTCTGTCATTGGATTAACTAAACTTATTGTGATAAGAATACATCGAGTTCCTTTTACTTTATATATAAAACAGTTGTTATTCACATTAGGAAATATAGAAATAGGGATTCTTTGATTATGAATAATAAGTAAAACAGACTATCTTTAAGAAACTTAATTGGTTGCACTTATTAATATGATCTTTGCTTCCTCCCCCAGATCAAAGATTCTAAATTACCTGCATATAAGGATTTCTGTAAAAATCTACCATTCCCTACATATTTTCCTGATGGAGATGAAGAAGGACTACCAGAAAATTTGTACGATGCAAATGTGTGTCAACCCAATGCACCTTCTATTACATTTGCCTAACCTCACTGGACATGGAAGAACTTCATATTTTGTGAGCTTTGATGAGACAGAACAGTAATATAATCAGGAGTTATATTTTGCTTTCTTAGTCACAGTAGTATCACATTTGTCATGGTTGTCAAGGGCATAAATATATCATTTATTCCCCAACTGAATTTTGTTTAAAAAATTACCACATTAAACAAATCAGTTAAGTAGATTGCATATGCCAAATTTAAATGGACTGAAAGTTTGCAAATTAGCAAAATCTTATTAACTTATGGGCTTCATTCTTTCTTTACTACGTATTTTTCAAATTATCTTAAGATGTTTATAAATTTAACTTCTTTTATTAAAGATCTGTCTGTCTTTGTTGTGGAACAGTGGCAAACCATATAGGGACTATGGTGTAACCTATTTAGATAATAAAAACCACTTCATAAAATTCATTTTTATCATTCTTCTATATTTTGCAGCCCTAAAGAGAGAGAGGAAGTGAGATTTTTATTAAAATTACAGAGACATAGATGTCATAGTTAAAGGCCTCGCAAATACAATAAAATCATGAATTATGGATTCTGTTTACACTTGTTTTAGTTGACCACTCAGCTCTAAGGTTAAGTGGAATCGTTTTTCCTTGATGCCTCCCAAAGAGATTTAAAATGGCCTGGGATGGTATATTCAACACACTTTTATTAATCACCTATTACTGGAAATATTAACAACCCCTGGGTTTCTCTTCATTGTATGAAATTAAAATGTATTTACAGTGTCTACTTATGACAAATAAGCTTAACAATGTTAAGTATAAGCAGGCCTCATTTTACTGGATTTGCTCCAGACCAGATTCCTGAAGCCCCACAGAATTCATTTTAACTCCATATGTTTTCTGAGATTATTCATATGGCCACCCAAGAGATTTATTAGCCATACGTTAGGTCTCCACATGAGTTCATGGTAACTAATGGATTTTAAAGTTTTTATTTATACTCCATCTCATTCTATTAAAGATTTGTAGAAATTGACAGGAGACCCATGCAATAAAATAGTAAAGTAAAGGGAAAATATCTAGGGTGATATAAATCAAAATAGGTGGAGGGTTAGGAAGGAACGGTGCCAATATAATATAGATGGACAGGCTATGTATGATATGCAGTTATACTTGGTTTGGTTCCGAGCTTCCTGGGAACCAAAGTAAAATAAGTAACATTGATCTGTTACATATTTTTCTTTAATCATAAGTTCCATAAGAGGAATCATTTTTATTTAGAGTAAGTCTTGATTACCATATCATTTTTTAATTAAAAATAAAAATAACATCAAACTAGAAATTCCTGAACTTCTTAAAAGATAAGCAAACACACTCAAGGGTAAAATATTAGTGCATTCTTGTCAGAGAGCAAACAAGGATACCTTTATTTGTTCTATTCAGCAGTGTTCTTGGAGGTCCTAGCTACCACAAAAGACAAGAAAAAGTAATTGTATAAATATTGGAAAGTGAGAACAAATCTCATTATTTTAAGAAATATGATCTACCGAGAAGATCAAGGACAGTTAACTGATAAGCTATTATAACTAATAAAGTTCAAAAAAGTGACTGAATACAAGGTTTAATACACAAACATATAATAACAATATTTAATTGGGAAATTTTATGAGATGAAAATGCCATCCACAGTAGAAATTTTCAAAAAGTTACCTAGAAAAAGAGGCTAACAAGAAATATGCTAGAGTCTTACTGGAAAAGGTAAAACTTATTGAAGGACGTAAAAGAAAAATAATGGAGATGAATAGGGTGATGAGAAAACAATTTTGTAAAGAATTAAATTCTATTTTAAAAATCTGAACAGAATTTAACATAGAATTGTTCAAACTGATTCTAAAATTGATGTGAACATGTAAATTTAAGAATAACCAAAACTTAAAATGATACCCATTAGGTATGCCCCATACTAAGAGATTTATACCTACTTAACTTTGAAATTCAGAATACTGTATTCCTTAGTTCTCCTCTAATGAGCTACATTTGATCAAAAGATTTTAATGAATTTACCGATGACTCAAGTTTGCTGATAAAGCTGTGGGAAGCAGGAAGCAGCTATGACGTTGCAGGACAAATGAACAATAATTTCTGGGAGAACCTTGTTTCTCAATAAAGTATCTGCAGAGGTAGAGAAGGGAATCATAGCATCTGAAAGTAGCCAAATGGCAAAAGGAAAGCAAGGATCAGATCAGCAGCCATTTGCCCAGGATATTTTGAAGAAGGCAGAGAGCCCTCTCCACTAAAGAGCCTGCCCCAAATCCACCACCATTTGTCTCTAGAGTCTGCAGATAGACTGGAGGATTACAAATGTGAACCCTATCTTCTAGAGCCAGATAAGGAACGAAGCATCCACTCCCACCTAACCTCATTCACCACCACCCACCACCCCCACCTTTACTGCCAGCACCTTTCTATTGAAGAGAAACTGAATACCGCTACTGCAGACTTTTTTGATGGCCCACAAGTGTCCTAAGTTATATTCTGCTGAGCCAGGTAGAAGAGGAAGAAGCCTTCCCTAGAGCTATGGAGTATATAAGCCAGAGTGTGCCTGGTCCAGCACCAAGCAAAACACTTGTGATTTGCTGTGGAAGAAACTTGGGTCACTGTTTCTGATTACAGCCCCTGTTATTAAATGTTCACATTAAATGTCCAGGAAAATGGAACTGCCTATGAAGGATAAGAAGTACATGGTCTGGACTTTGGCCTGCTCACCTCTCTTTTTGGAGCCCATGCAATAATAATTGTTTACTCCTGAGCAGTGGTGGCATTGCACAGATGTGGAGGCAGTACAGTTCTCAGCAGTGCAGCCCACTTAGGTCCTGATTTGGGCTTGAACTTGACTTACTGTTTAAGATTTTATCATAAAATGGGGAACCTTTTTGAATCAAATTTCATTTAAATTAGACATTTTTTTTCTAGTCTTATTTTATACTAGCTATTACTTATAAAATAGGTAAATACTGAACCCTATATAAATTCTGTAGGCCTCAGGAAGGCCAACTGGTCAAAGCACAGCTGCTTTAAGAGTTACACTAAGTCTCGGTTATCCTCCTTACTTTCCAGGACCCTTACCTTCCTAGGGAGCTGAACCTGAAAAATTGATTAGTCCTGTTTCCCCAGTGGACTCTGGCATGGGGTGAAAATTGGATGATGACAAGCTGTCAGACAGTAAAATGGCAATGAAAGTATTTCTTACATGTGGCAAATGTAAGGATATAACTTGCAAGTAGATTGAACATTTCAGAATCAATTAATAGCACTTTTTGTAACCGTTAATGCTGAGATACAGATCTTTTCAACTTTTCACAAGGGGTAGAATATAAGGATGACTCTTAGAGCTTATTTCCAAAGGTGAATTTGTGAGTGGAACCTGACTGTGTCTCATAATATATAATGAAATACATACAGAACTATGGGTTTTTCTTTTTAATGTAAAGAGTGTACATACATTAAAGCGCTCATTCACGTTTCCTGATACTGTGGGATAAATTCCACCAGTCTGTGGCAGTACTTGTTTTGCATTCAGAAACTTATTCTGTTCCTTTTAGTTATCAAAACAACCCCTCTTTGAGAGAGAGAGGAAAAAAAAATGTCAAAATGAGCCTGTCCTATATTCAGCAAAACTGAACTTTGGTCTTAAGTCGCCGCCCACAGAGATACCACTGGCTGTGTCAGTGAAAACCCATTCTGCCAGGAAAGAGCAGCATTCAGAGTGCTGACACTGGATCTGTTGTTTGGACCTCTGAGATGTGCGCTGTCATATGAATATCTTCAAATATTCTTGTCAGGGTAGGAATAGAATGCAAAGGCTTCTCATGGCACTGAGCCTTGCAAGTTAGTCTAGCTTGCAGGATGATGTCCTCCTAGCTACTTTGCTCTATGCTTTTCCATGGCTGATTTCTTTCTTTTGGTAAAACTTGGAAAGTGCCCGTTACTGCTTGTTTTGCTTGCAAGTCTCTACTCTGGAAGTTCTCCCCACTCTTACAGAAATATGGCAGGGAGAATGGATGTGTACTGATTATCTCGATTTTATAGTTTTATAGTGGAACCCTTTAGTGATGAGGCAGGGCATACTGCCGACACCAGTTTTACTGAACTAACCCAAAAAGAGCATTTAAATACAGAAATAAGTTACCATGTATGAGGCCCCCACCCTGGGCAAACATCAGGAGATTTACTCTCATATATTACTTCATGGCCACCTGTTTCCTATAGGAAGTAGTTCTTCACACAAGAGTTTACTTGACTAATAGTAAAGTTTCTACTGCTTTCAGGAATTTTCTATAAAGTTGTCTTTACTGCAACAGACACTTCTCCTTCAATTTCTAGTTTTATTGCTGTATCTCCTATAAAGCCTCATCTGCCAGCTTCCAGTAATAATTCCTGCCAGATTAGGTGGGAACTTGGCCCCAGAAATGACAATGGTATCTCAAAGCATGCTTTACAAGACAAATGATGACTGTCATCCATCTTCTGCCTTGAACGATTGCCTAGGATTCCCTGAAATGAGCGGACCCAATTAAAGTGCCATTGTCCCCTCCAGAAGACAGCCAGAGTACCGAGTGTGCAGGGTTGCCAGCCTCCTTTTCATCTGCTTTTCTGCTTTTAAATGTTTCCAAAGAACCTACAGCAGTCTGTGTCATGTATTGTTTTCATTGTTTTTAGATTAATGAGGTGACCTGTTCAAGTTAGACAAGCCAAATTAATTTCAATGACTGCAACCCATAACACCATAAAAGCAAATAAATGATTTTAACTCAGCTGGCCAAAGAATCTTTTTGGCATGGGAGGTATGTAATTGTTCCTTCCTGGCATTTGACTGGGAGAGCGAATGTGACAGCTGTGATCTTGATTCTCCTAAAACACTTTATACGAGCATCAAATATGCAATAGGCCATTTAGAAAGTGTTGTTTTTAAAGAAAAAAGATAAGGAATTCATCAAATTCTGACACTGCATTGAATTTGCTTTATTTGAGAAGGCGCTAACTAAACACTCCATCACAAAAGTCCTGACAAAGATGCATGGATGACTATATTAATGGGACTGTATTAGAATGAACAATAATAAATGGCTTTCTTGGGCATCCAGCATAAATTTCCTTATCTAAAATGGTATGTTTAAATGAAGCAAAGATGGCATCGGAACTGTTGGCTGACTGTTCATTTTTTTCTGCTAAGTACAGAAACACAATGTGATGCTTCACCTCACAAAGGAGTTCTGGTGCTTATAAGGAGGGTGCTCCTCCCCTCCTCGGAGTTTTACATCTGCTAGTGACAGCCAGCCGGCTGTTAAAATATCACCGTAGATGACAGAATTGAAGTGACTATCCACAGTGGAAATAGATATTAAGAAAAAAGCGAATCAAAGTGGAGGAAGTGGGCAAAGAATAAAGAACTGATTCAAATACAGTAAATAAGGAAAGATCTATAAAAACTCTATGGACTTTTTCTACCTGTGAAATTAGAATAGGCAGCATCTCTTTCTCACTTGCATGGTTCATTTCTCTAAACAGTAATCGATGAAGACACT